AACAGGAAGAGATATGCAGGGCCATATTTCTAAAGCCTGTTTCATACCAACTATATAAACGACTAAAGGTGAAGACACAACCTTACAACTCATTTCGCCCTACGAAATTATCATTCATTTGTTTTAAAAAATTAGCATGGCTACATGGTTCATGGAGGGAGTGGGAATACGCAGAGGTTGGTAAGAACTTGCATAGGGTGACAGTTCACGATGAGGAGGGGAAAGGGGAAGTGGTGATGCTGAAGATGAAACACCATTTGCTTCGTTAGATGCCTTTTTGTGCTTATCATGATAGGTTTGGGAAGCGACATTTTGTCATGCCCAAGTACTATCGAGATCCATGTGGTTTGGTGGAGGAACCATCAGATAATCAAACAGGATATGGTTTAGCAAACGCTAGACTTCTGAAGTGGCCCGCACTATTTATAGAGCGAGTCCAAATGGAAAGATTATGTCGGGAAAATCGATTGAAGGTGCCAAAAGCACGTTCTGTTGAGATCCAAAAGGAAGATCCTGATAATGTTGATCGACTATGTGAAAGACTACAACGTGAGATTTCTCAAATGAACCGAGGTTAGCCCGCGATATGCAGCTATACATAGTTAAGAAGGATGCCCAGAAGAACAAAAACGAACCAAATGATGGCGGCTATCAAGGGTATCATGGAGGATCCTCAGCTTGTCTCTGATGCTGAGCTTTCGATTGTTCAGACTCTGAGCCACCTACCGATTTAAGCGCGAATTAGGTGTTAATGTCTACACTTCGGCAATATTAGGTCATGCATTAATATGTAATGTCTGTGTTTAGAGTAAAGTGTTTCCGTAATGAGTTGGTCAGATTGTCCTGGCTAATAATTGTCTGTCTAAATGTTTATGTTTTATCTATGTATTGTGTGTTCAGTTTCATGGTGTCCAACAAGTTATTGTTGTTCGAGACTTATGTTTGTACTACTTATGTATTTTTGTTGGGAGACTTATGTGTTTTTTCCTCAAGGTTTTATGAATTGCATTTATCAGCTTCTAACCCAAAACAAAGACAATAGAAAAAAAATATTATTTAAATGAAAACGGCTTTAGTAAAGCCAAAACCAATTTCTGAATAACACATTCTAACCCAAACAAAGAGAAGAGAAAAAAAATAAAAAAATATCAAAGTTTAACATGAAACCGGCTTTAGAAAGCGAGAAGAAATTTATGAATTACATTATCAGCTTCTAACCCAAAACAAAGACAACAGAAAAAAAAAAATTATTTAAATGAAAACGGCTTTAAGTAAAGCCAAAACCAATTTCTGAATAACACATTCTAACCCAAAACAAAGAAGAGAAAAAAAAAATAAAAAAATATCAAAGTTTACATGAAAACGGCTTTGGTAAAGCGAGAAGAGATTTATGAATTACATTATCAGCTTCTAACCCAAAACAAAGACAACAGAAAAATATATATATTATTTACATGAAAACGGCTTTAATAAAGCCAAAACAAAATTCTGAATAACACATTCTAACCCAAAACAAAGACAAGAGAAAAAAATAAAAAATAAAAAACTTTACATGACAATGGCTTTAGCAAAGTGAAAAGAAATTTATGAATTACATTATCACCTTATAACCCAATAAAGACAAAAGAAAAAATATATATATTTAAATGAAAACAGATTTATTAAAGCCCAAACAAATTACTGAATAACACCTTCTAACGCAAAACAAAGAAATAATAATTAAAAAAAAAAATTGACATTAAAACGGCTTTACTAAAGCTCAAACAATTTATGAATTACATTATTACTTTCTAACCTAAAACAAACACAAGAAAAAATAAATTAAATTTACTTTAGTCAAACAAAATAAAAAAAATGCTGAATTACACATTCTAATCCAAAATAAAGACAAAAAGAAAGAAAAAAAAATTAATATGAGAACGGTTTTAGTAAAAGAATTTTAACCAAAAAAATTATTCTGATATATATTATCACCAAAACAATGACAACATAAACAAAAGAACGAAAATTTTTTCTTTAAAGTTCAGTAAAATTGAAATTAAAAAAAAAAAATTATGCTAAAAGCACGGTTCATAAAAAAATTTGGCAAAAAATCGTGGTTCTAAAGAGTGAGGTTAAATTTTTTTTCATAAAACGTGGGTTTTGGTGAACTCGTGGTTACAAAGAGCGAGTTCATTAGAAATTTTTTTTTGATAAACTCGTGCTTACAAACAGCGAGTTCAGAAGAAATCTATTTTTTGATGAACTCGTGTTTTGAAAAAGCGAGTTCAGCGTGAAATCGTGCTTGTAAAAAGCGAGTTCAAAGGAAAAAAATTTAATTAAACTCGCGTTTCGTAACCGCGAGTTCTTAATCAAACTCGCTTTTCGTAACAGCGAGTTTCAATTTTGGCAGGTTTCAGGCGACAGGGGTGGAAATGTGTTGAACTCGCGATTGTGAACCGCGAATTAGCTCATTTTGGAAATTCTTTCAAAACTAAACTTAGTTTGGGAATTCCCTTATTATTTTGGCTTATTTAGGGAAATGCCCCGTGTTTGTGATCTTCACAAAGGTATTCTGACTTCATTCCCTTGTGTTTTAGCTTTATTTCATTCCCAAACCCACTTCAATTTGTCTTCGAAACAGAATTTCCAATTCCAATACGGGTTTGCTAACATTGACGATGCCCTAACTCAGTTCGATCACATTCTTCAAATGCGACCTTTGCCCCCAATTCTTCGATTCAATCAACTCTTAAATTCAATTGCAAGATCAAAGCATTATTCCACTGCGATTTCTCTAATGTTTCGACACTTAACATCGTGATTAAATGTTTCGGTAACTTGAATCGAGTTGATTTGGGTTTTTCTGTTTTCGGGAAAATACTGAAACTTGGTTATGAACCAGACACCACAACCTTCACTGCCCTCATCAAGGGGCTTTTGTCTTAATGGTAACATGGTTTCTGCAGATAAGTTTTTTGATGAAATTGTGGAGAAAGGGTTCCAACCCAATTTCATTACTTATGGCACTATAATGAATGGACTATGCAAAATTGGAAACACTAGTGCTGCTATTCTTCTGCTCAGAAAGATGGAAGAAATAGGAGGTTGTGAGCCTGGACTAGTGGAATACAGCATGGTCATCGATAGCCTTTGCAAGGGCACACTAGTTACCGAGGCTTTGAAGCTCTTTTCGAAAATGATAGGTAAAGGTATTTCACCAGATGTTGTCACTTACACGTAGTTAATTCAAGGTGTATCTAGTTTAGGTGAGTGGGAAGAAGCTACAAGATTGTTGAATGAAATGGTTGGTAAGAGTATCTGGCCAAATGTTCAAACTTTTACCATTTTAGTTGATGCACTTTGTAAAGAAGGAAAGGCCAACAAAGCACAAGCTGTTGTTCAATTGATAATCCAAAGAGGTGTGGTGCCTGATGTTGTCACTTATAGTGCTGTAATGGATGGGTATTGTCTGTGTGGCCAAGTAGGTGAGGCAAGGAAAATGTTTGATATTATGGTCAGTAGGGGTTGTGCTCTTAATGTTTTCACTTATAATATCTTGATAAATGGGTACTGTAAGATCAAAAACATAGATGAAGCCATGAATCTCTTTAAGGAAATGTCTCAAAAAGGATTGCTTCCTGATACTATTACCTACACCACTCTTATTTGCGGCTTGTGCCAAACAAGAAGACCTCAAGATGTAATTTTGCTTCTTGATGAGATGCAAACTCATGGCCAAATTCCTGATCTGTTTACTTACTCTACATTGCTAGATGGCCTATGCAACAACTAATATCTTGATGAGGCGTTGGCATTGTTTGAAAAGATTGAAACAGCTGGATTAGTTCCTAATATTGTTGTATCTAATAACCTAATACATGGTATGTGCAAAACTGGGAAGCTCGATGATGTAAGAAAACTCTACTTGTATCTTTCTGCTAATAGGTTTAAACCTGATGTCCGTACATACAATATAATGATCAGTGGGCTTTGCAAGGGAACGCTACTTGATGAAGCAAGCGAGTTGCTAATGAAAATGGAAGAAGAGGGATGCTCGCTAGATTTTTACTCGTATAATAAATTGGTTCAAAGATTTGTACAAAATAATGGAATGCAGAAAGCATTGCAACTGCTTCACGTAATGGATGATAGAGCTATCTTTGTGGACCCATGCAATGTAACCTTGCTAGTTAACTTGTTGTCTGATGATCGATTAGATAATTCATCAAAGGAAATGCTTCGTGTGTTTTTTGGAACTCCTTCATTTTCCAAGTAACAACCTAGGTTTTCTGGAGCTACTTTGTTTTCTAAGGATCATAATGAGTCAAGGTGTTGCATTGATATATATGCTTTATTGATAATTGTTGTTACTTGTAACTTGTAAGTTGATTTAACTCATACATACTTGCTTAGATATTGTATTTTATATAAAGGCCTGTTTTTGTTGCTTTGAAATTTCCGTCCTTCTTTTTTTTTCTTCCACATATATGGTTTTGTGAACTCTGCCGGGATTGTTAACAACTCCGCCGGTCCCAAACCCGGGTTAAGGAGGAGGGTTGTGTGTTAGGTAGCCGGCAGCCAACACGTAAAAAAGCCGCTCGGATCCCTTATGAAAATGAATCCTACTTTGAATCGTTTAAACGCTAGGTCGTTCCCCTCAAGTGACGCATTGCGCCTGCCTCCGGGTGTTTCGAAAAGTGAGTAAGGGGCGCCACATCGACGCCTGGGTGCGGTGAAAAATGGGCAAAGGTTTCCGCGTTTTTCTGGACGAGCACGGGTAAAGAAGCTAGTCCAAGACTATAGGTTTATGGTAGCCACTTAGAACATAGGAACCTTAACTGGTAGGACGATGGAATTGGTAGATGTTATGATTAGGAGGAGAGTTAGTATAGATTTCATACAAGAAACTAAGTGGATGAGAGAGAAAGCTAGGGAAATTGAGGATACTGGTTTTAAACTTTATTATAGTGGTAAGGATAGACGCAGGAATGGGGTAGGAATCATAATTGCCAAGGGTCTTATGGAAAGTGTGGTGGCGGTCACTAAGAAAGGAGATAGGATTATGCTAGTTAAACTAGTTATTGGAGGGAATATAGTGAACATTATTAGCGCTTACACCCCTTAAGTAGGGTTAGATGATCAGACTAAGAGGGATTTTTGGGAGCAAATGGATGAGATCTTACAGGAGATACCCGTAGGAGAGAACCTGGTTATAGGTGGAGATTTTAATGGCCATGTGGGCATAGATAAACTAGGTTATGAAAGGGTGCATGGTGGATACGGTTTTGGTGACAGAAATGAGGCTGGAGAGAGAATCTTAGATTTTGCGTTGGCTTCTGACCTGGTGGTGGCCAATACTATGTATAAAAAGAGGGAGGAGCATTTGATAACCTTTAAGAGTGGATTAGTTAAGAGCCAAATAGATTACTTCTTAGTGAGAAAAGTAGACTGCCTAAAATGCAGTGATTGTAAGGTGATTCTTGGAGAAAGTTTGGTCTCTCAACATAGGATTTTGGTACTAGATTTATGTTTTAGATGGCAATACCAAGCTAGGAAGGATGGTGGTCGTCGTAGGACGAGATGGTGGGACCTAAAAGGGGATAAATTAGAAATATTTAAGAATCGAATGGATAAGGAAGGTACTTGGGACTTAGAAGGTGATGCTAACACTATGTAGAATTCGATGGCCAATTGTATGAGGAGAATCTCAAGGGAAGTGCTTGGAGAGTCGAAAGGAACGGGACCTAGCTTTAAGGAAACTTGGTGGTGGAGGGAAGAGGTTCAAGCAGTAGTTAAGGCAAAAAAAGAGTGCTTTAAAAAGTGGCAGAAGGATAGAACTGAGGAAAACCTTAAGAGCTATAGATTGGCTAATAAGGAGGTCAAGAAAGTAGTGAGAGAGACTAAATTGAAAGCGTATGATGACCTATACACTAGACTAGATAGTAAGGAGGGAGAGAAGAGGGTATACAAACTTGCTAAAATATGGGAGAGGAAAACAAGAGATTTTAATCAAATAAAGTGCATCAAGAGTGAGGATTCTAAGGTATTGGTGAAGGATGATGAGATTAAGGAAAGATGGAAGAATTATTTTGAGAAACTGTTAAATGAGGAACATGGAAGTAGGACAATAGGGGAAGAAATAGCCAATAATACGATAAACTAAGACTATAGGTTCTATCGCAGGATTAGGAACTTTGAAGTGGAGATTGCACTTAAGAAGATGAAATCAAATAAGGCTTTAAGACCCGATGATATCCCTATTGAAGTTTGGAAGTGTTTGGGTAAAAAGAGAGTTGCTTGGTTGACTAGGTTGTTTGGCAAAATTTTGTTGACTAAGAACATGCAAGATGAGTGGAGGAAGAGTATTTTAGTGTCAATCTATAAGAATAAAGGTGATGTCCAGAATTGTAACAACTATAGAGGAATCAAGCTAATGTGTCATATAATGAAAGTGTGGGAGAGGGTGATGGAACGCCGATTGCGAGACATAACAGAGGTGTCAGTGAATCAATTTGGGTTTATGCCTGGTAGGTCAACAATGGAAGCGATCTATCTTTTGAGGAGAGTAATAGAAAAGTATAAAGAAAAGAAAAGAGACATTCATATGGTGTTTATCGACTTTGAGAAAACATATGACAGAGTGTCCTGAGATATAATATGGTGGGTGTTAGAGAAGAAAGGGGTGACAAAAGGCTACATTGACGTGATTAGGGACATGTATGAAGGGGTGGTGAGCACTATTAGATCGCCAACTGGAGAGACAAATGAATTTCCTATCACTGTAGGGTTACACCAAGGACCTACCTTAAGTCCTTATCTTTTTGCTTTAGTTATGGACGAGTTGACGATAAATATTCAGGATGACGTGCCATGGTGTATGCTTTTTTGCAGATGATATTGTATTAGTGGATGAGACTAGAGAAGGAGTTAACACTAAATTGGAGATTTGGAGAAAAGATCTTGAATCTAAAGGATTCCGGATAAGCAGAACTAAGACAAAGTACATGGAGTATAAATTTAGTAACAGTAATAATGAAAGCAGAGGAGAAGTGAAGATTGAGAACCAAGAACTGTCTAAGAGTGAACATTTTCGTTATTTAGGGTCGATTATCACAACAGCGGGACAGATTGATGCAGATGTGGCCCATAGGATTAAGGCGGGATGGTGTAAATAGAGAAGTGCATCTGGGGTATTGTGCGATAGCGATAAACGAATACCCAACTAGACTAAATAGGTAAGTTTATGAACGGGCATTAGACCAGCTATGTATATGTGGACGAGTGTTTGGGCAACCAAGAAACAACATGTAATAAAGTATAGTGTGGCTGAGATGAGGATGCTAAGGTGGATGTGTGTAGACTAGACAAGACAGGATTAGTGAATAGAGTGTATTCGGGAATGGGTAGGAGTAGCAACCGATAGAAAGATACAGTTGAGAGAGAATCGTTTGAGAGTTTGTCCATATTTCAACGGAAAAGTAACAGAGGTAGTAGTGAAGAGATGCTGATTAACTGTAACGGTAGAATGGAAGTGTTAAGGGACGGGGTAGGCCCTTAGATTACGTTGACTACAATGTTAATAAATAGAGATAATGAATACTTAAAATTTGAACTAATGAATGGGCCGTTTGATAGGGCCCGAGTGGAGAAGAAGGATCTTCACGTAGCCGACCCATTCTGAATGGGACTTAAGGCTTGGTTTTGTTATATATGGTTTTTGTGAATTTTTTGTTTTTTGGTTTTTTTTTTTCTTGGAGGATTTCTAGTTAAAAGACTTCTCTCGGTTTCCTTGTAGAGATTATTTGAGTGGCATAAGTTGTTAGCATTGCTTTATGAATTATTACTTTAAAGGATTAAGGGCATCAATAATGGGTCCAATATCTAATGACTCAGCTTGGGATATAAAAGCCCTGATGTT